AAAAGGATCATTTAGGATGAATATTAGGAAAGTGAAAGCTTCTTTTGGCTTGGGTTAGTCTCCCAAGGGCAGTGGTAGAACCCCCTATTGTTTATGGCGTTTATAGCCGGACTGGACAAAACACTGGAATTTGTTTCATAAGGAACAATCTTGCCTTGTCTGGGAGATGGACTGGATAATGTTACAGATGAGACAGACCTCATCATGTGACTCTGCCAGAGCAGCAGCCTCAGCAGTGGAGGAGGCAGGGGCAACTTGGCTTCCTCGCTGTCCCTGGCTTCTCCTACAGGTGCCAGGTCACAAAGTGACTGATTAGAGGCCGTGCGTCTTGGCAGCACCCCATCACCTTGCGCTTCACATAGCCACCTACAACAAGGCTTTAAAGCCTCCAGCTCTCCCAGGAGTTTCTGCAGAATTGCAGCAGCAAAAGAGGCAACTTTGCAGTTAAGAAACACTCCCTCCTGTTTCAGAGCCTGCATTTATCCAACCTTTTGATTCTGCCAGCTACAGTTTTTGTACGCTGTGTGGATACTAACTCATGTTTACCTGTTCTACCTCTACTCCCTCCCATTCCCCATTCCCCAGGCTTATGCTTTGTGTTCCAGTCCTTTTTCTTCCACATCACTAGCCCCCACTCCTAATGTTCCATGGCCCTTCACCCCCATAACAACAGAAACCTAAAAATAAAAATCTTTGTTTTAGATTTTTGTTCTTTCCTTCTTTCTTTTTTTTTAGTTGAAAAATCACACAATTTTTTTAAAAAAGGAAAAATTTCCAAGATAATTGTTCATTTTGGAAAACGGCCATTTTTCATTGTAATGCATTTTGAGCAAAATATTTTGACCAGCTCTATAACCACTATTTTTTTTAATCTTGAGTCTTGAGTTTCTTTTTTATGGTCTTAAAATAGCAATTGAAATATTGGTGTGAGGCACTTTCTTGGGGTTGATAACTGGCTGTGGGTTTACGGTTCAAGGTGCAGTTTCTCCCAGCCATTTGCTAATTCCCGGGAAATGTCCCATGTGTGGAGCCTTATTAGGTTTTTTTAATACCTGCCCCAGCAAGTCTGGTCAGCCCTGCACTGCTGGCAAAATGTTTGTGTTTTAGCAGAATACTTCCCCAGTGTATGAAATACTAATCAGAGAAATGCATAATCTGGTTATGTGGCCAAGTGGTTAGCACACACGGCAGGTCCTATTCTAATCTCTTCTATTTATTCTTCTTGTACAAGTCCCTAAGTATCTTTGTGCTTCAGTTTACCCATCTGTAAAATGCATGTTATGATTACCATATTACTTCACAAGGACGTAAGTGTTTTGGGTTCCTTGAATGAACATTTCTATAGAAGAGTAGATGGTGGCTATTGTTCTTAGAGATGTCCTTAAACCATAAAATCCGGATCCGAATTTTGAATATTCCCAACTGTGTGTGTGGATTAAAAGCTTTTAGTCTCCCATGGAGTTAAATTCCAATTATAGATCTGGTTTGGAAGTCTGGACCTTCAAAGGCTATGGGGTGTTTATATCTGCCCTTTTGCTGTGGGATGTATATGTGCTACTGTTACTGGATGTTTCTGATCTGCCATTTAGCAGTGATGTGTGCAACAGACATTTTGACTTTCATCCCAGAATGAAACAGAAAGCCTCCTTTCTACCTCAGAACACAAAGGAATGCTTGTTTTGCTCACAGCATCTGGACAGACCGTGATCTCATTCCCAGTGTGTTCATTTTTATCTAGCTTTATTATTATTATTAGTGATATTATAGAGTGAGTAAGAGAAAGTAATGAATTACCTTGGGTCTACTACTTAGCAGTACGGCAGTTCAGGTATGAATGAGAGCATTTGTGGACTCTGAGGAAAATGAAGCTGTCAGGGAAGCTAGACTAAAACAGCTTTACCGTGTTGTACATGTAGAATCCCAGTATTTTACCAATAAAGTACGTGAAAAAGGAATCTAATGCATTTGAACTAAAAGGCTCCACTTGATTTTTAACATTTGCAAGTTACTTTGGATTGTTTATTCCCTGTTCTTAGTAAATCACATACTAGTAGAGATAACAGCGATTTATCATGAAGTCTTGACCTGTGTTCTGTGCAGAGTTGGAATGTTACTGGAGTGATTCAGTTTGATGCAATGTTTGTCATAAGCATTTCTGATAGTGATGATGCAAGGCTCAGTCCTGCAGTCTTTACTCAAACTAAACTCCCAATTCACTTAAGTGGATGTTTATCCTTAGGCTTGGCTGAATTCTGTTTTTAGTTTATTATTAATTTTGACAGATAATATCAGTGTTTATATTTAAGCATTTTTCTTGATGTTTATCTATTTAATTTTTCACAGTTGTGGGAAATTGTGGAGGGTCAGATGGCGGGAGGGGAACAATTATTTAATGACAGTAGACATTGAGATTCAAAAAGTTAAAGCTTTATAAGTGTTCAGACATAAACTGTCGACATTGTATATGGAGATAGACCTATCTCATAGAGCTGGAAGGGGCCTTGAAAGGTCATTGAGTCCAGTCCCCTGCCTTCACTAGCAGGACCAAGTACTGTCCCTGACAGTTTTTTCCTCCCACCCCAGATGGCCCTCTCAAGGATTGAACTCACAACGCTGGGTTTAGCAGGCCAATGTTCAAACCACTGAGCTATCCCTCCCCCCAATCAAAACTTTAGCTTTAAATCAAACTCTAATAAGTTCTCAAACTGCATTTTTCTTACTTTGTCTATCTGTAAATGTTGATGATCATCAATGGAAATATTTTTTGCTGGTTTGTGCTTGTTGAAATTGACACTTATCAATAAAAATCTAATCCTTCCAAGCCTATTTATCTTGCATAAGAACTGCAGGTTGTGCCCCCAGCCATATATATTGCATGCTATGTAACCTTTGTGATTCGGTAGCACATGAACCAGCTGTGAAACAACTGCAATCATTCTAGAATGAAATATAATTTCATTCTTTACATTTCAAAATACCTTCAACCACTTGTGCTTATTCACAAGCAAAGCAGACAAATAGGCCTTTCTTTGTAACAGCAGGGTTTCCCAGTAGCTTTGTTTCCCTATTGTTTAGAGTTTGTAATTATCATTTAATGATTGCAGACTTGCAGTGCCAGGGTATTGTTTGTGTAACTGTGCCATATTTTATACTTCTCTCATAGAATGTCTTCAAATGGATTTAAAAAAGGACTGGATAATGTAGGGGAAAACAAGTATGACTTTTAACCCCTTACAGTATCAACGGCAATCAAAAGACTCCAAAATTTTAATTCTCACAAATATTTATTCCTCGTACATGGAATTCAAGCTAATCAGTTTAGTCATCCCCAGTGTTAGCAGGCAAGAAAATCAAGTTTCCCCTTGTCAAAATTCATCCTCCATTTGTTTTAGGACTGAAACATTTTTAATTACTCATATCGTTATGTTTGCTCCCATACAAGTGTTGCTGGTAGTCAGGACTGTATATTTCTATGGCCTCGACCAAGAGAATAAAAGGTCTCACCTCTTGGGAATTAAGACTTGAGAATCAAGGGCACTTAGGCATCTGACAAGATCAGATAAGATAACAGATGATTAAGCCTCATACTACTGAATTCAACGAGATTGATTGATTGATTTATGACCTTGACAACCATTCAGTGTTGAGGGCATCCTGACATAGAATTAAAAGATGGCTGACCATCTAAGGACTACCAGTCAAGATTTGGCACTGTATGTATTCCGAACTGATGAAAAATACAAGAGCAAGTGAAAACTGGAGAACCTCACTGGATTGCACCTTACTAATGCCCATTTGTGATTAAAAACCTTTGGTGCTCAATTTAGGAAGTTTGTTTTTATACTACTGTGAAGGTAGGGGCAGGAGACACTAAGTAATTGGGTGCAGACTTCAGCAAACTGTATTACTCTGGGTGTATTACTCCTTCTGGCTGGATTTGCTGGGAAAGCAACATTAGTTTCAGCCTCAGAGTTAAGAAATGCAGGATTCTTGAACATTGACTTACTCTGTCTTGACAGTTATTGCAAATGGAACTGTGAGGTATTCAACAACATATTTAATTTACAAAGATATTCTTTTTTTAAAATTCAGTTGCAGCTTTCTCAAAGACTCTCAGTAAACAAAAGGCTGGACATAACATGAAAATAAATCAAAACTAAACAGTAAATGAAAAGGTACACACAATGCAAACCTCATTATAAGGCTATATCAGTGAATATTTCTGGATGCAATATTATTGCCTTTCAGTTATTTCAGTGTCTGTCTGGATGCTCTTCCAATTGTCCTTTAAGAAAAATAGTATTTTATAAATCCCAAACCCATTGTTTTATCACCCAAGTCATCCTGATCTCATCTAGTCTAGTAATTTAAAGAGCTGTAAACTTTAACTTCTTACTTGGATGCACTTTTCATAGTATTGTGCAAAGCACTTTCGATTTTGGATTGTGAAACATATGATCCTACCCTGACTCTCAAGTGACCATGACTGGAAAGTTCTGACTCATTTTGTTCTCTAGACTTGCTGAAGTGATTCACAGATCTTTTAGTGCTTCAGACAATTTGTTAGAAACAAATTAGCATCATTATCCTTGCCATTTATACCTATTATTTTCATAGCACCTCTGGTGTGTGGAGAGCTGTAAAGGCAAGTATCAAGATGTTTGGACCCTAACATTATACCAAAAATATATTATTAAAATAAAAGGACAGAATACATGAAGAGTGCTAGGGGATTACTACAGTTAATGAATCTTTCAGGGCAGGCTGCGTAGTTGCACATAAGGATAAACAGACTAAAGCCTGGTTGCACTGTCGATACCTGGTTAGGAGTTTGTTTGTTATTTGTTTATTGGTATTTTTATTGTAAAGAAATGAAGTACACCTCGGTGGAAAAACTGGGATTTAACAGGCTGTCTGGTAGAAGGCAGCTTTAAAGAGATGTTGGGGGTGGAGGAATTACCAAGTATTTTGCTTATGTATTTTCTTTGCTTTTATTTTAGTTTGCAAGTATGCCTGCCACAAGAAATGTGAAGCAAAGGTAAGCACCTTCCAGATATTCATTTCTCTGCTTGATAATAGTCTCCATTTATTTGAAGTTTGGTAGACATTAAGACTATATCAGTTAATCAAAATAAGAGGATTGCTTAACCAGATGCTCAGCTGTTAAGAAATCGTTAATCGCTTTCACTTCTAAAAATTCCTTCCTGTTATTTTGTCTTGTATTTGTTGCTTAACAGCTTGATCCCACACCACTGAAATCAGGAATTTTACATTTGACCTTAATGGAAACAGGATAGTGATCTCACTTCATACATCTCCATTTAATTGTAGATGAACTTACATAATATCTTATGGTAGCTTTAGTTTGATCAGAGATAGATCTTATTAATAATTCTCCCATTGAAGCCAATGAGTATTTTGCCATTTACTTCAATAGGGTACAGCATCTCATCCTTTATAGTCAAAGCATCAGCATCAGTGGTTTCAGTACCTTACTCCTCCCACAAGGGGGCATGGTTCAAGTAGAAAACTGCTTTCTAACCTGATTGATTATAAGCTACAGAGTTCCACAGCTAAGGAGGAAACATGCCCAGTAAACCAGGTACATTCTGCTGTTCTGTGTCAAAATGCAGAAGTGATGGGTGCTTTAGAAATGTCAAAGATAGAAATACAGATGAAGAGACAAATAGAAGTTCCATTGGCAGCACAAAGATTTGAGTGTAGGAACAGTAATGAAGATGTTAAGCCCTAGTTTCCCCCCACAAGTCAAGTGGCAATATCCTCTTTCCATCACTGCCACTTAATTTATCTCCAAATATACAATGTCACTAGCTTTAATTTTTCTTTCTGGCTTTAATCCTGTGCTCACCTTGAAAAGTTTTTTTTTTTAATTATTTGATTAAACTAAATATATTCACCCACACTGATGTTTCCAAAGCCCAGAGTGAGCTTTTTGTTTCATTGTTAAATCTGGCACTAAAAGCAGATGGTGAACGTCAACAGAACATCAAGACAGCATAATCCAACATTGTTGAAAAAGGGCTGTTTTTCATTAGTTTTGGATGGCAGGGGACTAATCTATGACATGTTGAGACAATCTAATTTTGAAGGGCAAAAAGGGAAAAGAAAAAATGCACACCAAGGTGCCACGTGCTTACATAATCCTAAAATGTCTTTGTATGAGGAGCAAATTAATAATCAACACATTCACCCTTTGGGTTTTCATACAGAGAACACCTGTAAAGATCAAAAACATTATTATTATTTTATTATTACTATGATTGTAGTAGAAGGATTTTATGTGTACATAATTATACCTTTGCTCAAAAGTGTTGCTTTAGAAATTTTGCTAAGGGCTAAAACTTGGCATACTGTAAAGTACTATTAAGATTGTAAGAAACTGACATCTGGAAGGAAATTCACATTTAAGGATGACACTCAGAACTCCCCCCCCCCACTCCATTCTTAAGTACATAGCAGAAAAAATTAGATTAAAAACCAGGGTGTTACGCCATTCTATGGTATGTTCTGCTTTGATGTTTGTAAGCAAGGATATTATTGAACATATAAAATGTGCTCCACTATTTAGACAGGTCAACATCAGTGAGAGATGAAGTTGCCATTTACTAGTATTAATTTGGTTTAACATTACAGTACTTAAACTTTAAAAAAAAATTATTATTTCATTGCTGAAGGATTTATGTCATATTAATGTAGTGTTTTCCTGAAGATTATTATTAATGAGAAGTGAATGAAACATCAAACATTTGACTTATTTCCCCTACAGCATGATTCTTAATACAAACTTCCATTTTGCGCTTCTCCTTTGCTGCTTTTTTTTTTTTTTTGCAGTCTGGTTAGTTTTATGCATTAAAATAATCCTGCAAATTAGCCCTGCTAAGACATTTTCAGATTTGCAGAGATGTCCTGTAAAATTAATTACCATAAGGAAATACAAGATGTACTAAACCACCATTGAGTTAGTGTGATCCCATCAGATTAAGCTGAGGAGGGCTAGGTTAAGTCAGTGCTTGGATAGTAGACTTTCAAGCAACACAGGTATTACAATAAGTAGTAACAATGATTCAGTAGGTGGCATGTTCCCTTCTGAGTGCTATGCTGCTGAAGGTGTCATCTTTGAAATGACATAGAAAATTGATGTTCTGAATATTAGACATTTTTCAGATTAATAGGGGAAGTTTTCAAAGTTAGGTGCCCAACTCCCATTGACTTTCAAAGGCCATTAGGTGCCCAACTGTTATTTGTGCCTTTGGAAATCTCTGCCAGTGTCACATGTCACAGAAGTGCAAAGTGTGATTCCTGCTGCTGCTATTTCAAATGAAATAGACAAGAACAAAACATCAGTATTAGTATAAGTCTGCAACTAAACTATTATTACTGAGCAACTACACTTTGTAACCTCAGAAGTAGTTGGATTTCAGTGATGAATAAATGAATCCTTGTGTATAGTCTCTGATCCTGCAGATCCTTCCTCCTGAAGACCTCTGTAGGAGTCCATTGACTTCAGTGGGACTCTGCATGAACGTAAGCATTCACCCGTGAAGATATGATTGCATGATCAGGGTAATAGCCTAGATGCCTGGGTTAAAATATATTATATAATGGTAATGGGCTTCAAAAATGCTAATCACAGCTGGATATGTAACTCCCTTGGTGCTACCTTAGCTTATATGTTTTGGGAGTACCCCTCTAACACCTTCTTTTCAATAGAGAAACATACCACAAGATTTAAAACATCAGCAGTTAATCAGGAGTAAATTGTATGGGAAAGGAGTGCATGCGGGCAGACCCAGTTCTATTTTTCTTATGATTGAATCTGTTTTGAAGACAATAATGTATGCGCACATCAGGGGCCTGATCAAAAGCCCATTGAAGACAATGGAACCTATGTGAAATTACTGTTATAAGTGGCTCAAGCTACACAGCATCTTACTGAACCAAATCATGTTTGAAAAAAAATCACTTAAAAACAACAGCACAAAGCATTCACCAGTAAATTAATGAAAATTGACATTGTGATGTTGTCAGAGAATTTCATTTCATTAGTGGTATTTTTGGTATCTGAACAGTCAGAATCATTCCTTGAAGTGGAGTAGATGCAGTTGTGCCATACAGCCCACATTTGCTGAGACTGTAACTATCTGAGGAAAGGAGTAAGTGCCCAATCCTGATTCCACTTACATTACCAGCAGTTTTGACATTAGCTTCATTAGAAATATAATCTGGCTCTATCATTTTACCAAGGGGAGAGTAAAGTATAGGTGACAGGAAGGCACAGAAAATACCTTGGTATGGAAAACTAAGGTTTGAGAGCAACATTTTGGAATGGAATGTCTGGACTAGTCTCTTAGATTGGGAGATCTCTCATTGAAGATCCATCTCCCATTGAAGATTTTGTGCAGATCATCAGTTGTTATAAATTGTCATAACTCCATGGAAATCAATGGTGTGATGACAGTTTACACCAGCTGAGGATCTGTCCCCTCTACCCACTGCCCCCCTCCCCTCATAGACCAATGTCACTCTAAGTTGAGTTGCAATTTTTGCATGTTACAAAGTGTTGAATTTATGTGGGGCTTTAGTTTCACTATATCCAAATTAACTCTAAACAAGTTCCACAGTAGCTATAAAGTTATTAAGTACACAACATTGAGTACAAAATAACAAATGCAAGTAAGCACTGAAATAAGCTTACTAGAACATAAAGGACCAACTGAAATAAATGACCCTGAAACTGCAAAAGATGTAAGTGAGCTGTGATTAGATTATCGTAATTTTAGCCTACCACATTCAGTGCATCTTACTTCATTCTAAAATAGATATTGTAACACATGAAATGATACAGAATAAGGCAAGCACATGATGTTGATCCCAATACTAAAATGTCTGAGCTGTAAATGCCAAGCTAAAAAAATTCTTCTCTGTTTAATGTAGCAAAGAAAAACAAATGTAGGAGGGAGTTTAATGGTTGTCTGTATATAAAATCTTAAGTGATATATGCATATCTGTCAAGTTACTATTTTCAGTTCAGCTCTGAAGATAGGAGAGGAGGGCATTAATGGAAATTAAGTATCCACAAATTCAGAACAGATGTCAGGAAGCACTTTTTCATACAGAAAGCAGCAAATATGTGGATTGATCTCCCAGACAAGTTTGTTAAGACAAAAAACAGTGTGGTTACTCAGGACTCAAGCAATTTAATACCATCCTGGGGGGAGAGGGAGCACCAAAAAGGACTCCTCCATGATTAGTCAAGTAGCTTGTTTTCAAAAATTGCATATGTTCCTGAAGTTAACCTTGTGGAAATCTATTATAACCTGTCTGTTTATGAAAAAAAATTCTCTCTCTCTCCACAAATAGAGCATCTTTCAACTGCAGATCTCAAGTGAACACAGGCATGTGGGGACACTTGGCTTTAGACATGATACAGCTTAATTTGATAGGTCATATTGGTTCAGATCTTAGAGACCCTATAGAATAAATGATACCCTTCTGATTGCCTCTTTAAATGAGTCTGCACAAGTGACCCACAAAGTATGTACAGCTTGGCCAACAAAACACATGGAAACAAGAATGCCACTCTGGAGTACTCCTCAGGGACAGCAGTTCACACCAGTCACTTAGCCAGCAAGATGTGGGACTGGTTTACAAGAAAGAAGGTGGGTCAAAGGAAGATCAATCTACATGGCATGCTCTTGCACATTTGCACAAAAGTTCATGGTGCTTGGGCTTTAGGCAAGAAAAGCTTAAAGCTGCTTCAGGCACCTTTAACTCATACAATAGAAGATGTGGGCCATGGAGTTTGTACTATTATTGATTACATGTGCTGCAGCAGGTGTGATGGCTGCATGACATCTACTTGCATATCACTCAGGACATGCTGATTTTCCTCCTCCGGCCATTATTGTCCATTTGTGCTTTCGCCACTGCTCAGCTGGGCACTTGTGCTTTCAATCAAACTGTTTCTCTTTCCAATTTTCCTTACTACCAAGCAAGGAGGCTCTGGTGAAAATCTTT